GTAGAAGCAGGGAGCCGGGGAAGGAGAGGGCGGTGGCCTGGAGTGGGGTGGCGGCAGTGGAGACACGGAAGTGGGTGGAGCTACGATACACTGAACAGGGGACCGCGCCTTTTCACTTCCCAGAAGGGAGGTGGTTTTCAGGAAACCCCTAAAACATGGAGGACTCGGTGGGCCAGACCAGGCAAGGTGCACCCCGTCCTGCCCACACCAGCGCTTTGTCTGCGTAGCAGGTGCCCCGCAGAGGACAGGCGGAAACCCTGTCACTGCAGCTCAATGTCACCAGCTCACGGAGGGCCACCTCAGACCCCACCCTCTAAGCAAGAGCGAGGTCTAGCCACACCAGGTGCCAGGAAGCCACATTTCTCCTTGACAAACGATTACCTGGCACTATGGGCTATACATCAGTCTCTCGTGAGTTTGACTCCCATGAGTCTGTCCTGAGAAGTCTGACTTGTTGGAGCCGAAGAGCAGAGTGTGGGGTTGCAGCAAGGACATGCCACCCCTTCGCCAGTCACCAAACCCATCCAGTTCCCATACACCCTAAACAATGTCAAAGTTGCACAGCGCTTACTGTGCATCAGCAGTGTCCTCAGGACTCACTGTATTATTAATCCTTATGGAAGCCCTACGAGGAAGGCGCCATTGTGGTGAACTACTGTTACTCCCACTTTACAGATGAGAAAACTGACCGACACAGAGGTTAGATCATGAAGCCGAGGTCCCACCACAGCACGGCACCAGCCTGCAGAGCCTCGCTTCTCGTGACCCCCAAAGACAAGGTCACCGGAGCCAGGAACCGAGAGGCAGGGATCTGGCCGGGAGGCTGGTCCCAGACGGCCCAACTGTCCCCAGGGTTGCCAGCAGCTGTTCTCTGAGCAAGGGGCATGTGCCAAGACCTTTCGCAGGAGAACAGCTTTCCCGACAGTGGCCAGTGCCCGCGCCCCCTGCTCCCCCCGCCTGCTCCACACAAGAAACACAAAGCTGAATTTCGGGCTCTCCTTCCCAGAATGCTAGAGGTACCCTGCCTTTAAAAGTCACTCCAGCAGAGCTCGACGGGTTGATCGAAGACTTGGCCTGGAGACAGACTGACATGGAGACAAGTGACGGATCAGACGGAATTCTGCAGCGGCAGCAACGGCAGCAACGGCCACGCCTCCCCCCTGCTGTGACGTGCTCAGTTTTACAAAACACCACCCTAGTCCTTCCTAGAGGCCCCACGCGAGGAGGGTGCAGGGAGAGCCTCCAGTTCCACTTCACAGAGGTGGGCATCGGGGCCCAGAAAGGGAGGCACTTGCTCACACATGAAGCAGAGACCAGGCTGGATTTAAATCACAGGTGAGGCAGATGGAGGCACATTCTCTCCCCCAGCACCCTCCCGGTGTGGCTGCATCTGGGGGCACCTGGGTGGAGGTAGCCCGAAGGATCTGAGTCTCATCCAGAAGGACCACGGACGTGACCTTCAGCTCTGTTCCTGGACTGAAGAGCAAATCCTACTTCCTGCTCGGCCTGTGGGTCTGGGCCCCTGGTTTCCGCAGACAGAATCCTCCCCAGCCACGAGCTCCAGTCCCCGGAGGCTCACTGGAGCATCCCTCCCGTGATGCCCAAGGTGTGCTGCTGGGTTGGGCGGTGACACACAGAAGAGGAAGACACAGACTGCTGGGCCAGCAGGGACGTTCTGAACAGCGGAAGTGCTTCCCCAGGGTGCCCCGGGGCCTTTGCACTCACCACCTGCCCTGCCTGAAATGCCCTCCCCCGCCCCCAAGTGCAGGGCGCATTTCCCTGCCTCCTTCGGGTCTCCGTTCACCGGCACCTTTCCAGGGAGGCCTCTACGGTGTCTCCTCGTCTCTGAACCTACTCTCTTACCCGACCCCTCAGTGCCGACTACTTTCCTTCTACGCTTTGTTTCCAAAGCTGTTCCATCTGACGTCATGGACGTTTGCCTTTGCTTGGTTATCGTCCAGCCCAGGTGGGGCTTTCGCCTTTCTGGTTTCCTGCGATGCGCACAGCACTGAGACCATGGTCGGGCACACGGAAGGCGCTTAATCAATATCTGTGGAAGCATTTAGAAGGGGCCACAGTGGAGGTGAGTGCGGGGTACAGGCGGGGCAGGAAGGCGGAAGGTCTCCATCGCCTGAGCTTCGCTACACTGGGCGTTGGGAAGAGCGGCTCCCAGATGAGAAGCAGCTGACAGCAGGCACAGCTGGTCACAGGCCACACTGGAGCCGTGGGTTGGGGCTGGAGGGGCCTCCCTCCACCCAGATTCCTGAGCGGTGCCCTCCACTGGGCCTGGAAGAACCTGGGGTGGTTTAGTCGTAGACCCGAAAGCTGGTGGGTGGCCGCTTATGTCTCCGACCCAGAGGTGAGGCATCACCTGTGCTCCAGGCCCCCACCCTGCCAGAGCTGGAAAAGACGTGGGCTTCACTGGGTCCATTTCAGACAATTTTCTAGCACTGAAGACACAGCCGCCTCTGGGAGGCTCTCAGAACAGGGCACGCTCTTTCTCTACCCACAGGCGGCTGGAGCTGGCCGCCTGGTTCAAGTCCCGGCTCCCCCAGTTGCTGGCCGGGTGACTCTGGGCGAGTCTCTTAACATCTCTGCACCTCTGTTTGTTCCTCTGTAACCCTCTGGGCCCTGTGCCAGCCTCACGGAACACACAGAACTTCTGCCTTTGAGGACTTTACGGCCGGAGCAACAAGAAGGTCTGAATACAAATGATGAGAGTCATGTCTACGTATTTTGCCCATTCACTCACTCACTCACTCACTCACTCATTCATTCATTTGGGCAAACTGTATTAGCTACACTGAGCCTGGCACCACACTAGCACAAAACCAAAATACCGGGAGTGTCTCGAGTAACAGCCCGGGGCAGGAGGCGCTCCGATGGAGGCTGTGGGCGGACCAGCCCTGGGGAGGAGGGAGGAGGTCAGACAGAGACCGCAAGCTGGACGGACCCCTGGAAAGGCCTCCGGAAAGAGGCAGGACTGGGCCTCTCCCAGACTCCTGCTGGCGGGCAACGAGCCGTCCAACTGCCTCTGGTGGCTGCAGTCTGGGTGCCCACAGCGCTGGGCGCCTGCCAGACCTGGGGGCATTTGGACGGGGTAAGGGGACAGACTGCATCCTCAGCCCCGACGGGAGGCCTGCACCCTGGAGGTAACGTGAGCCCGCGGTGGCCTTGCCTCTGCCCCGGGCATTGTGCAGGCCACCCGGGCTCTCACACCGACGGGCGCCATAAACAGGCCGGTCCCAGTCTCTGGGGCTCCGTCTTGTCTGCAAGGTGGGCACAGCCCTCCTGTTTCTGCAAAGGCTGGGCAGGGGCTGTGAGACCACCCTCTTCGGTGCTCACCGACATGCTGACGCCTACAACACCTGCCCGGCACCTTGCGCTGTCTCGGCGGACGCGCCCTTCTGGTCCCCTGAGCTTTCTGAGTGGCCGAGCCCTTTACAAACGCACGCACGGCTGAAACCGCTCCCTGAGGGGTCGCTAACTCAGCGAGGACAGTGACGGATCCGACTCACTGGACGGCTGGGAACTAACGGGGAAAAGGGGGGCCTTTCCCCCGCCCTCCTGCGTGAACTGCACCCGTGGGTGACAGGGAAGGAACCCCGCGGCCACGCGAAGAAGGAGCAGCACACGGGGATGCCGCCGTCCCGCCGCGTTTGTTTCCCGGAGGCTGCGGCTCCGGCGCTGCGCGTCCCGGGCCACCCACGTCACGGAAGGCACAACCAGGGAGCACGTGTCTGTCTCCAGGGGGAGGACCCCACGCCTCCTCTGAAGGAATCTTGCAAAAAAAAAAAAAGTGAAGCAAACGGTCGAGCCTGTGGAAGAACCGCCCGTGTACGAGAGGCACGAGGAACAGGGGCCGCACGGCCCCACGAGACGCACTCGGCAAACGTCAGACTTCAGATCCTGGGAAGCGCACCCGACAAACACAGCTCCTCCAGTGAATAATCAGCAAGAAAAATAATTAAAAAAAAAAAGAAAGTAGATGACAAGACACTTGAACCAATCACACTGTGTGGGTCTAACTTGGCTCCTGAGTCCAACAGTGTTTAAAACATTAATTTAGGAGCCGATCATGACTGGATATCTAATTGTTCTTTTTTAGGTGTGATAATAGTTTGGAGGCTATTTTGTTAAGAGCCCTTCTCTGTGACAGTGACATACTGAAGTGTTTACAGAGGACATGACGTGTCCTGGATCGGCTTCTCCGTAACACGGGGGGGGAGGGGGGAGTGGATGAGGTGGGTCAGGATCGGCCGGGGGTGCCATGTTGGGGACAGTCATGGGCACAGGGGTCCATCTCACTGCTCCATGGACTTCTGCACAAAACTGAAATGTTCCCTTAAAAAAATGCCACCAGGACGAGCGGAGGGCGGTTGATGCCTGTGCCGAGGGCTGCCGAGGGCGGCGCAGTGAGCAGTACACAGTGCGAGGCCAGCTCCTCCTGTGGTCTCACCCTCTCCCTCCTCTGCTGCACGGCTGCCAGCTGCCTCACCTGCGGGAGCCCTCACAGCCACCGTGCCTCTCGCCTCTCCTGTGCGCTGCCGGGGGCTGGACAGCGGCCCCTGGCTCTTCAGAGTCCTGTGTGAGGCATGAGTCATCCCAGCTTCAGCTCCTGCTGCTGCCGGAGAGGTGCCCAGAGCTGTGGCTTCGGTTCTCCCTGTCCCCAGGTTCACGTCCTTCCTCTGCAGAGCCCGGACGGCCCCCTGAGATCATGGGGAGTGTGGGGTCACAGCGCTTCTTCCCTCACTCACTTCCATCTGGATTCGGGGTGTGGGAGGGAGGAGCAACTGGTGCTAACACCCACAGGCACTGCCCCTGCCGCACATCAGGCCGGGCTCCAGCCCCGTCTCTGAGTTAAAAAAAAAAAACCAGTCCCTGCCTTCGCAGATGTGGCGGAGGACAGGCGCAGGCCGCTCCAGTTTCCCCGCACCCTTGGGTCCCTGGGCGGGGCTGGCTAAGCTGCAGGGCAGGGGGCCTGCAGGTGGCCCTGAGAAACTGCCAGCTCAGCTCGTAGGATTTATTTATTTTTTCTTCTGCAGAGAGAAACGCAGTTGACCTCCCAAGGAAACAAAAGGGAAGAATTTCCTGGCCAATTGTCTGGGGGGAATAACAGGAACTGAGCTAGTAACGGCCCAAACAAACAGCGCTCAGTGGTGAGGAGTGGCCTTCGGGACAGGACCAGGAGGGAATGGGACCTCAGCATCATCTCTCCCTGTCCCCAGCCGCCACCACTGCAACTCTGCTGTCCCTGCCCGGGGCTCTGGGGCCCATGGAGGACTGGGGCTGACTCCCATGATAACAGCAGCGTCTGCTATAGACCTTGAACTTGAAAGGTACATGGGGCAAGGAATTAAAAGGCTTAGGCTGAGAGCCAGAGACACCAAGGCTGGAGGCCCTGTGACACCCTGGACAGGTCACAGCACCTGTGATCTCTGATCCTGCCCGCTGGATCCCACAAAGATGGGGTGATGACTTGAAGGCTCCCCAACAACGACCTCTGCGAAGGGCTCTGCCGAAGGTGAAGTGATGGGCGGACACGGTGGGGCAGGGCCGCTCCTCCCCGCGGCAACATCACTCACCCCCGCGCAGCTCGGTGAGTACCGCTGCCCCATCGTGCGGATGCGCAAGGGAAGGCTCGGGTGGCTTTAGTGACTTGCCTTTGGTCACACAGCTGGTAAGAGCCCAGGCCACCTCCTCCTTCAGAGACCTGCACGGCCCAGGCGCCTCCCGCAGACGGTGCAACCTCAGGCCACTCACTGGCTTGGGAAAGAAAGCCTGTTCCTTCCCAGCGCTGGCAGCTGGGGTCCAGCATCACAGCCAGGTCCCAGGCTCTGGGACAGTGACCTCTGGCCCTGTTCACGGACTTACGGTAATGAGCTTAGGGCTGAGCCCCCAGGGAAAGGCACAGCTGGAGACAAACAAAGTTTCCAGATCCTCACTAAGCCTCGTGGACAGAACAGTTATTTATTAACATGGGAAGGAGGCAGGGAGGCGGGTCCTCTGCCCCAGAACTCAGCAGGAGTTCTGCCGGCCGGCCCCCGCCCCTCCCCCGGCCCCCCCCCACCCCCGCCAGGCGGCCAGTCCTGCTCACTGGGCCGCCTCTGCACTGAGCCCCCACCCTGGGCTGCCAAGGGGGCACCAGGCCTCTGCACACGGGTGACGATCTGAGCTGGTAAACCTACGAGGGACAAAACTTATGCAAATTGGAGCCGAGGAGTTTAGCGGGTGGCAGCGGCGGCAATCAAATCTGTTGGCAAGCAGTGGCGTGGGGAAAGGAGGAGTGCACGCTGTTCCCAAACAGTCTCCTCCGGTTTGGAATTACCCACTTTGTGGGGCCTCTTCCACATCTGCTGGGAGGGCAGGCAGGCAGGCAGGCAGGCAGGTGGGCGAGGCACCCGCCCCGCCCCGCAGAAGCCCAGCCAGGACCTCCCTCCTGCTCCGGGGGAGTCCAGACACAGGCGGCCCGGCTGGGCCAGCGGCCACGCCGGCCGCCCTGGCCTCAAAGCGCACCCTCCCGCTTCCTGGCCAATGGCTCTGAGCCTCGATGTGCTCATCTGTGATGTGGGACCATAAAGCCCAGGCCTCGTAGGACTGCTCACCCGCTGGGTCTGGAGTGACAGCTCGGGGTTGGAGTCCTGACCCTGCAGCTCACTGATGACAGTTTTCTCCGTAGTTACTGGGGATAATTACACTAATCCCAGTAGTTACTGCGTATGGGCTTGTAGAAAGGGTTGCAGGCATTCTGAACCTATTAACTCATTTAATCCCCAGCCAGCCCCAGAGGCAGGTCCTACTGTTCTTCCCACTTCCCAGCTGGAGGACCTGGTGCAGTCTCTATGGTGATGTCACGGACCACACCTGGGCGCAAGCCAGGACAGTGACGGCTGGGAGGCCCGCCCCGCAGCGTCTGGTTCCTGAGGCTGGCCCAGCCTCCCAGAGTAGCCTCGGCTGTCACCAAAAGCCTCGTGAGTGCCTGTTGGGTTCCTCGCAGGGTGTGGCCTCTAGAAGGCACGGAGCTACAGAGCTATTGTTATTAGGGACCTCACTGCTCCCCTGGAAGGTTGTAGAACTGCCACTTCTGGAACTTTCGACCCTTCTTCCATGGGTTTTCTTCTTAGCACCCACTGACATATTTTCCTTATTTACTTTCTATCCCACAGCCCAAGCTGAGTGTCCTCTCTGCGAGGATGGGTGTTTCCTCCGTTGGATTCATTGCTGTGTCCTCGGTGCTCGGAACGGTGCCTGGCACAGAGCAGGTGCCTAACGAACATCTGTGGACTGAGTACGTGAACGACCATCACTGCCCTCACCCCACAGCCAACCCACCGGAGTCGGCTGGCACCTAGGCAGCCGCTGTGGATGGGATGAGATGTGACTGGGGGTGGGGGGGGTGGGTCACACTGCACACAGCCTGGCCCATCGCTGTCATGACCTGCCCAGCCCAGATTTTTCTTGCTCACGTCCTGTCCCATGCCCGTAGTACTCAGCAAGCACCTGCTAGGTCACCACCCTCCGCAGGCTGGAGAGGCCCCCACCTGGCCTCAGCCCGGCAGAGTCCCAGCTCAAACCAGTCGTGTCCAGGACAGCCCAAGCCAACCACCTGCACCCAGGTCACATCAGGCCACGGGGATCCCCCTGTTTAAACCGGATGCTGAGTGCAAATGTTCTGTGAACCCTGAAGCGTCTGGCTTTGGGTTCTTGTCCATGAAGAGCTCACCGGGACCCCGAGGCTCACCCGTGGTGGGGGTGGGGGAGCCCTGCCGAACCCCAGGCCTCACGGCGGGGGGACCTGTCCCTGAGCACAGCTCACAGGCCGGGGGCCACCCCAAGACCTGCCTACCTGGACGTGCACCTGAGCCCAGCATGTGGCAAGCGCAGGGAAAATGTAAAAGGCAAGTGCCACCGAGGTCCGCCGGGAGGTGGGTCTCACTGCAGAGAGGACAAGACAGCGGAGCCCTGACTCCCTGGCTGCTCTGGCACCAACACCGAACCTCCTCAGGTTACAGTTTAAGCTCAGAAGGAAACGGGGTGGGGAGGGAGGGCTGGGCGTGACTCTGTGCAGTGGGAGCCCCGGGAAGGTGGGACAGTCAGCTCGGGCGGGTGGCCCCCGCCCCGGGACTGTATTGCCAAGTGCTGGCTGGCCTGGCCGGGTTTAGGCTCAGGCAGACCGGACCCCTGGGAGCAGGTATGTGCCCCCAGCAACCCCACAGGCAAAATCTACAGGACAAGTGAAAAGAGTGTTTTTTCCAAATAAAACCAATGACCACTTTAAAGAATAGAAGCCCGTGAGATTCAGGAGTCTTTGTGCCTGAGAACCTCCCGCACTCAGGGGCCTGGCCTGCACGTCCTCCTCAACGCGTGCGGGGCTGCGAGCTCCCAAACGAGCGAGCTCAGAGTCTGAGCCCCATGCGCAGCACCACCAACGGACCCCGGGTCTGCAAGCGCCAGGCCATGGTGTTTCAGTGAAGCCCCACAGCAGCTCCCGCTGCGCGGTGCTATCATCACACCCATTTCACAGATCAGGAGACTGAGGCACGAGAGCTAAGGGACTCCGGTGCCATCAAGGGCAATGCTGGAAGCACCTCTGACTTCAGGCTGAGTTTCCCCAGAGACCGCAGTGCCGTCCTCTTGAGGATGGCGAACAGATTCACCCAATGCACACCTAGCCCTGTGCCAGGGGACACACCCATCTTAGCTCATGTAATTTTCAAAAGAAAACGGTCCCCACTTTACAGGTGAGAGAGTTGAAGCTCTGAGAGGTCAAGTCACGTGTCCACGAGACAGTCGGACAGTGGGGGGGGCTGAGAAGAGGACCGTGTGTGGGGGCTCTGGAGTCCGTGTTGTTTCCCTTCCACGCGTTCCACGCCCCGCCCACCTCTGCACCCCGCCCAGAGCCTCCCCACGGGGCGTGAGCTCAGATCTAGGAAGCTGGCAGGCATAATGCGCACGCATGTTTCAGGGGGCCTCCGGGGGCGGAAAAACACTGCCAACGAAACCGCTGCCTCACCTGGGGGAGGACTAGCTATACCCCGACTGCAGACCCGCTGAGATGCGAAAAGCATGCACGTGAGGATCGATGAAATGCGGGACCTCCTCACGTGACCTAGGACAGCCCTGTGAGATGGCCTTGACCGTGCACACGAGGACACGGAGGCTCCACTTGGCTCTGGAATGAGTCCAGGGTCACGCGGCTCATAGAGGCCACGTCTGGACACTTGTCCTCACATCTGTCCACCTCACTGAGCCGTGTCTTTGATCCAGGAATGCCTGGCACCTTCTATAGTACCTAGAGCACAGGAGCCTCGGGGGAAATGTCCCTTAAAGGAGAAGGAAGGAAGGAAGGAAGGAAAGAGGGAAAGAGGGAAAGAAGGAAGGAAGGAAGGAAAGGAGGGAGGGAGGGAGGAAGGTTGGTTGTTTTGTTCTTCCCCATCAGGGCCGGGGGCTCAGGCTTGCCACCTGTGAGCTGATGCCACCAGCCCAGGTGTAAGCCAGGACCTGGGACTCAAAAGAGGTGGCTTCTGGAGCATCCCAGGTGGGGAGCACTGAGGGAGACACCTGGGAACAGGGGGTGGGAGCCCGCTTCTGTGTGCCGGGGGCTGGTGCAGCAGGCAGGTGTGTTTTACGTAAAACACACCTGGGGAAACATTATCTGACTGCCAAGTGCGGGGGCGGGGGTGTCTGTGGGTGCCGGTCCTGAGCCGAGTGACTAGCAAAGGCCAGCCCTGTGCCAAGCACGACGACGGAGCCCCCTCCCACCCGCATCTCCACAGCCCCGCTTTTGTGCTGGCGCTTGAGTGTGGAGAACCCCTCTGAAGAACAGCCTGGAAAGGTGCCATCCCTCAGGTGGCCCTCCGTTGGCCAAACCCAAGGGGCAGGATGGATTTTCTGTATTTTTTGAAGACAGCTTCATGGAGGTGTCTGACATCAAGTGGACAATCTACACGTCATGGAATGCACATAATTAGACGCATATGGATTATGTGTAGATGCCTGACATCACCCCCGCAGCCAACAAGGTCAAGATGGATTCTGAGCCGCGTCCCCAATGCCGGTGGGTCACCACGCACCTCTGCTGACGGGCAGCAGCCGCAGCTGCAGACAACAGGCACTGAGTACTTGTGAGACCCAGGCGCTTGGCGCTTCACACGCGTCCGCCGAGGAGGGAGGGTAGGGAGCTCACAAACGCTGGGCGACCCAAGTGCCAGGCCCGGGTCTGCCCCTTCCCCTGGGTGTGGCCTGGGCACCTTCCTCCACCACCCTGTGCCCGTCCCTCAGCTGAGGGTCACAGGTATTGTGCTGAGGAGTCAGAGGGTGAACGTCCGTGTACAGAACCCAGGACGGCCCCCTGGCTCACGGTAAGTGCTTCCTGTGTCAGACGAAGATGACGCGGATGTTGATTCATTTTTTAAAACAGAAAGCGAAGTGACTCATCCAAGGTCAGTGAGATAACTTATGGCCGAAGCAGGCTTCCACCCAGGCCGTCTGGGCTCCTAACCAACCCCGATGCTGTCCTCTCCAGGACACGGGAAGCTCAGTGCCCGACGACGCAGCCAGGGGCCCTCACCTCCGGGGCTGCAGACCTGCGGCCACGGCCCCAACGGGCCGGGTGACAGCGTGAGCAGGTCAGGTGTGCAGGCTGCTCTCTGCAGACCCCGCTGCGCCCAAGCCTCCCTTCCGGCCGCCCGCGCCTCACGAACACGGCCGGCAGGGATCCTCTGAGACCCGTTTCGGAGGCTTCCTGCCTCCGATGTGTCATCTTCGAGGCCCGGGGGTCTCAGCCCCTGGCAAAAAGCAGCCAGTTGGGATTTCAGCTCTGCAGGGCCAGGTGGGACACAGCAGGCAAAACCTCTTCCCGCCCTGAATCACCCTCAGAGGGATGGACACCCTAACCCTAACCCACGGCCCTCCTGAGGGATGGCTAACCCGGAGGGAAAAGGCTGCTGCGTCGAACAGAGGTGCACCCTGGGGGCCGGGGGCCCTCCAGCTGGTCAGGGCGGCGCAGGGCGGGGTTGCGGGCGGCCCCACGAGAGCACGGCTAAGTTCAGCAGCAGCAGCACTGTGGGTCAGGCCCTGGGCTCACGGTCCTGGGGGCACTGTTCTCCCCTCTTACAGATGGGGAAACTGAGGCTTGCAGGGACCCCGCGACTTTGCCGAACTTTACCAGCAGCCTCCCTGCGTCTGTGAAGCTGGAATCCCCATCCAGGTTTCCATCGCATCGATCCAAACACACCACCGCTGAGCGAGGAGAAGCCAGCAACGGGCAGGACTAAGTAACAGTTTCGTGCTCACAGCCTGCCAGGGGCGGCCGGGGGCAGAGGCGGCTCACACCGTCCAAACTCACCCCCGACAATTCCAGGAGGAATGAGCCTCGTCCACAGACGTGTTACTAGGGGCTTGGAGGGCCAGGGGGGCCAAGCAGGATGCGAACACAGGTGGCACCGGCTCCCACACGACTCCCTGCGGCTCTAGCTTGCGGTGAGGTGCCCTGGGGAGGCAGGAGGGCGCTGGGCTGTGGCGTGTTAGGTTCCCGGAGCTGCTGTGCCAAAGCACCCCACGCTTCGTGGCTTCCAACACACATTCAGTCTCCTCTTGTTCTGGAGGCCAGAGGCCTACGTAGGTTTCCTGGGCCCAGACCCACGTGTCCTGGGCAGCACCACTGGGCTCTCCCTGGGGGTTCCGGGGGAGAAGCCCCGTCCTCCCCCTTTCCAGCTTCCAGCGGCTGCTTACATGCCTCGGCCTGTGGCCCCTTCCTCCATCTTCCGACCCGGCAGCGTGGGGCCTGCAAATCTCTGTCTCTGCCTGTGAACTTGGGCTTCCAGCATCCTATCTTCCCTCTCTCTGACCCTCCAGCCTCCCTCTTACAAGGACCCTCGTGGTTCACCGGGGTCCAGCCAGATAAGCCAGGATAATCTCCTTAATTCACTCGCACCGGTAAAGCCCCTTCTGCCGTACGTACGTGGTGACGTATTCACAGTTCTGCAGATGGGGCCCTGGGCATCGCTGGGGCCACTGTTCACCACCTGCCACAGCCTGGGGCCGTCGTGTGCCCTCCCAACCAGCCCCCCAGGGCGAGGCCAGGCAGGAAGGAGTTGAGCTGGACAAGGCAGATGGAGGGTGTCCCACATCCAGCAGGAAGGCCCAAGGCGGGGGGCACGGTGCGGGCTGGGGAGACCCGAGGCACAGCGCCCGCACGCCTCCAGTCCAGGCCTGGCTCCAGGAGGGGCCACATCCCTGGGCTCGTTCCTCGAAGAGCAGAAGTGTTTTTAAGTTCTAAAAATACCACCCCGTTGCTAAACACACGCCGGGGCTCTTGGGAAATAAAGCAGCAGCATGAAAGGCCTGGTGAGGGGCGCCCAGAGATTCCGATCTGCGAGCGGATCAGGGCAGCTACCTCCGCCAGAGCAGCCAGAGCCATTTCCGAAGCCCTCAGGCAGAACTCAAGGCCAAGGTCAGGCTCTGGACGGGAGCCAGTGCCTGGGGCTCAAGGTACGGGGTGGGCGGGAACGCTGGAGAAAGGAAGTAACCAAACACTCGTGGGGGCCCCCCGGAGGGGGGGCTTCTCATGCTACCCCCCTTCTGTCCTCCAAATCGTCCTGCAGAAGAGGTGTTTTTATGTCCCTTGTCCCGAGGGGACACGGAAGCTCTGGGGGGTGAGGTGACTTGTCTCCAGTCACACACAGCAGTGAGGCCTGGGGTTCCAAGCAGGTCCATCTGACTCGAAGAAGACCAGCGTCCTTTCCACTGGACCCAAACCACCGCCAGGTTGTCACACTTGAACCTGACAGGCATTGGCGGTCCGTTGGCCCCAGCAGGACAGCACGGTTGTGAGTGCAAGTCCTTGGGCCGGCAGCCTGGTCTGGACCCGGGCTCCGCCCAGCCCGGGCTCTGCCCAGAGGCGCTCACCCCTCTGTGCTTCGTTTCCTCCTCTGTGTAGGGGACCCGGTGAAAGCACCCGCCTGGCGTTGTGAGGACTTAATGCGTTCATTCAGGTGCCGTGTTGGGGCTGGGACGGCGCCACACCGCGGAAGCCCAGTTCACACCCCTCCGACCCTCCGAAACCTCCACCCTCCCCCGCCTGTCCTCTGGGGAGTGCCCCCTCCGGCCGTACTCCCAGTAGAAGCCCGCAACAGCCTACCTCAACTTTAATTTCTTTTTAATCCTCACCTGAAAATATACTCATTGACTTTAGAGAGATAGGAAGGGGGAGGAGGTGGAGGGAGAGAGAGAGAGAAATATTGATTGGTTGTCTCCTTTATACACC